TTTCCCACTGAGAAAAGAATCCCCAGTAATTCCAATTTAGTTATCTCGCTTACAAGTGTAAATTAAGTTCACAACTCCCTTGTAAGAACTGGTCTCACAAAAGACAGACCAGCCCCATTTGGCATGACAGATAAGAAAGAGAAATACGTGACCCAAAATGGGTATAAAAGATGGGTCCAGCACACACTCACTTTGAGTGTCATTCTACCCTCTACCTGCTGGTCAGGTTAGGTGTTTGACCTCCCGAGGTTCTATGGGGACGCCCACCTCATATTTTCGTCTTTCCTAGGAATTGAGGGACCGGCCCTGGCCTGACATGCTGGAGTCGAGAGGCACAGAAGGGGGTAAAAATTGGACCTGGATGTGGTCCTCTGTTTTAAGTGTACACATAGAAAGAGTAAGCTGTTACTTGGTACTATTATTTCTATTTTCCTATCTTTATCTTCTTTGTAACCATTTTTAAGATCTATATTTTGCTAGTAGTTAAGAAATAGAGCAATAGCCATTGTAACCATATCATTTATAAGCTTCCTCAAAAACCCTGTACTGTTTAAGTTTTAACCTGACTCCTTCAGTTGCTGTAACAGAACCAGGCACAATTTAAAAAGAACTTCAGCTGGTCATTCGGGACAGTATAGGAAGAGCTTGGGCGTTTGGATTTGTGTCACGCCCAGGTGGCAAAATCCTTTGGGGCACTTCTCAGCCTTCCCCAAGGCTGCCCGCTGCGAAGGAATTACGAATTCTAGCAGCTGAAATCTGAAGTGTAATAAGCTCTTCCTATAAACTTGGGGCGTCTGAGAGCCTGTTGGCTGCCCTCTGCGACGGGACCCCGGTCCTAGCAGTAAAGTCACAGACGTTAAACTATTTTTCGGGGCGCCCTCCAGCCTCCTAGGCTGCCCACTGCAACGAGACTTTGCGTCTCAGCAGTTGAAGACTTGGGTGTAACACACAGGCACACACTGCCCTGACCGTCGGCTGACACCATTGGGACATCTAAGAGCTACTGCAGTTTTGTTGAGATGTTCTCTTCAAGACAGATGTAAGCTTGTAAACACTATTCACTGCATATAGGTTTGGTGGGGAGCATATTCTAAGAATTCTGGCCCCTCGTTCTTGTCATTCTGAAATGACCTTTTGGATGAAACTTGAAATACTAGGCAAGAGAATAATTAATTTCCTTGTTCTCAATGGGCCTAATTTTTTTCATAACAGATTTTATCCTAAGTATTATCACATTCTAGATCAATTTTGTCAAATAGTCTGCCCAACTTATTTCCTTATAAGGGGAAAAGTTCACAACATATCAGTGAACTGGAAAGCTAATTTAAAAGTGATCATGAAGTACCAATAATGATATGCACATGGCTGCCTCTAATGCTGGTCTGGAGCAGGTTACAATATCTATAACAAACTTAGTTTCAGGTCCTTCACTTTCCATTCTCTTTAATTCTCTCATTTTTTAATTTTAATTTTAGTTTGTAGTTCTCTTTAAATTTAAGTAAATCACACTTCTCAGGAAGATTCACACTGTTGCCCAATATGAAATGGGATAGTTTATTTCTATTATATAAGCATATCTAAATAACTTAGCTTTGCTCTTCCTGAAATCTCATGACACCTAGGTCTCTGAGGGTGTGTCTAGACTACATGCCTCCTTCGACGGAGGCATGTAGATTAGCCAGATCGGAAGGGGGAAATGAAGCCGCGATTAAAATAATCGCGGCTTCATTTAAATTTAAATGGCTGCCCCGATCTGCCGATCAGCTGTTTGTCGGCAGATCGGGGGAGTCTGGACGCGATGCCCCGACAAAGAAGCCTTTCTTCATCGACACAGGTAAGCCTCGTGAAACCAGGTTTACCTGTGTCGATGAAGAAAG